TGCGAGTCATCGTGAACTGCATTTTCTCCCAGAACATCGGCGAGGTGCAAGTGGCTGCTGGTAGCAAAGAGGCTACATCCTCTCGCACTGTTCCGTGCCTGCCGACAAAGATGAAATTGGCGTTTGACGAGCAGCGTGTGTAGCAATCGCTGCAGGTCCAACACAATGGACATCAGTCGGAAATTCGCAGTCTAATCACCAGCCACACCGTGTACAAACCGTCGTAGTAGCTACCGCGCATGATTGTTGTTGCCGCTGACGCTTCGTGTTCACATCGGTTAGGGAATGCAGCGGCCAGTGTAGCAACGGTATCGCTCCAAACGGGCAGCATGTATGACTGACGTTCGGCGCCCATGTAGCGTTAGCATCGTACAGCGTGCGGACCGGCGTGGCGACAGCGACTTGTCGGCGTTAGCAACTTATGTGTGGACCAGCGTGACGACAGCATGGGAATCGAGCAGCATTTCCACCAGAGATTTTGGTGGTGTCAGGCAGCGTGCAATGGTAGTGACATCGGTCAGTGTCAGGCGGCGGGTGGGTTAGCAGAGATGGGTGGGGGCAGTCGGTATGAACCCGAGTGTTCACAAGAAAGGAAATTGCGGAATGAGACTCGTTGGGGCTTGGCGCGCGCTCGACGCCCCCGCACGCGAGTTTGAATCGTTGACCCTCCAAAGCGGCTTGTTTCGCGCCAAAACATTGCGAGCTTCAATGTTGAAGTCACGTTTTCGCCGATGTCCTCGGTTTGACCAATCAAATAGCATTCCGATGATTCTAGCAGTCTGATTGGCTAGCAAAGTGGTCTTTAATATACGCGTATGGCTACCTATTTCGATTATGGGTAGTACCTATTTTTAGCTATGAGGACCCAATTACGCTGGCAGTAGTTATACCCGACAGCGTATGCTCCTTTGTCGGGTCCGTTTTGACGTAGAAAAGCGTACCTGAGGAAATGTAAGCCAGTAGTTATGTGGCTATGCGCTTCAAGACCACATCCTTAAAAAAGGTAATCCTAACTTTGATCCTGGAGGTAGTAGTTAGATCTCTACCACAGCATGTCGTTCGCCAATTTGTGTAGTATTATGCTCTGGGTTTTACAATGACATCTCCAGTTATCTTTTTAGGTACGTTTTGGTTGGAATTGGCTATTGCTATTTTTCGTACAATGATCTTTCGAACGGTCTGATTGGTCGGAATCACGTTCGGCACTGTTTAATTTCCAAAAAAAATGCGTTATGCAGAGTATCGTGAACGCATAAAAAGACGCCAAGGACAGTAAACAACGCCACGTGGTGCAGGCACCATCAGCTACAAGACACAAGCGTTTGCTGGTGGCGCAGCAACACACATGGTGCGCCGTTGTCGTCATCATGACGTCCCCCTTGGTGTCGATCATCAACCTGTCGATGACCGCCATCTCGGGGCCGGACTGGGCAAGGAATACGAGTGTGGCGGCGGCTCCTCTGATATCGCCGCCACACTCGTATTCTTCGCCCAGTTCGAAATCATCGCCTCTTCCACGATGCGTGCACCGCTATGTGGTCGCCGAGGCGTACGTCGGTAGTCGTTGTAGGAGGCAAGTGTGCGACCCGATTTTGGAAGGCAGGCCCTCACATTCGTAGTGCTGAGCGTTGATTCCTCAGTTGCAGAAGTCAAGTAGCAAGTAGGTACCCTGTATGGCGAAGTGGAAATGCACCGGCGTTGTGGGAATAATCTGAGTAGAGCGGTGATCTGTGTGGTGCTGTGTTACCACGCGCTCTGGTATTGTAAATATCGTTTTGAGTGTTGAAACTATTGTCCTGTGTGCTGCTCTGGATCGATCATACGACAATTTGACTATCATACTCTGCCCTCATGTCACTGTATATGAACCAAATTGTTTATTTTTATTATTATTCGAGCCACAGCTCGTACAGGTTGCCTTTGCCTCATTCAGTTTAGGTATTTATGCAAATAATACCGTTCTTTCTCATCCCATTTCTCTAGCCAATGGTAGGGTTCGCTTGGAGGTAGCACATCATATGTCAAACCGACAGATTGCTCTTGCTCCCACAATGGCGATCGATAGTAGGCACACTTGCTGCACGTGCATGGCTCTCGTATATCCATATATTCGAACTGATCCGCGAGAATGTCAATTTCGCTCATCGCAATCCATAAGTTATTAACTTTGCTGAATGCGTTCTCCAAGATTTTACCTTCATTCCAAGCTTGAGCTCTCTGTTCGGTGCTCCGAACGTCTGCCATCTGGATGTCGACTTCAATTTTGACATCAAGCATCTCTGCTTTTTCGACAAGAAATGTTTTCAGATATTGCAGTCGGTCACGTATCATTTCGGTAGTTATCTAAACGTTGTAGTAACGAAAAGGTGTTAGTACCATCATAACATATACGAATTTAAGACTGGTCTTTCGTACCTCTGAAAGCTCCATACACAGCTGCAGCCAGCGTACCATCCACACAAAGTGATGTCTGTAGTAGCCGCTGTATGGATCCTTGGAATGGTCGACATTCATAACGTACATTTCCTTTACCGGCAACATCTCAATAAAGTCATCAACGTCTTTGGTTGAGTGGAATACATTCTCAAAAACCTGCAATTAAAAAAAACGTTTGCATGTTAGCAGTTGTATCCATGACACCCTCAGTTTGAATGTTGACGCAGTACTCGATCTTTTGCTGGTATAAACACGGGAAGCAACGAGTCAAAGTTGAGTCTGCGGTGGCAGCTGAAATGAACAAGCGCGTCTTTTATAACGATCGGTTTGTAAATCTGCTCTCCATTGGACGCTGCAACTCCTGCAGTGAAAGGTAGCTGCAAGACGTGTATGTCAGTAAGAAAACTAGATTCGCTATTAGCACCACACTAGTTACCTCTGCCTTGTCGAGGCGCCAATCCATTCAGTGAATTCCAAGTTGCTAGTGCCAAGTAGATAGCTGTTTTGGAAATGAAAAATGCCAGAATGAGAGAACATCATCACCTGAGTCTCCTAACCGCAAGTTGCAGTTCAGAGACACTTCGTGGTGCAGTCTGCAGCAAGGAAGGAAGTTCGTATCAAGTAGCTTCTTTACGTTGCAGTTGGGAACCAGCTAATGCTAAGAGTAGTACAATCGTACCTGCCTAGTATTAGATATGCAGGTACACCACTGCAAGTGGTATGGATTCGAAAAAGTGTGTGTTTGGTGAGAATCTAGAAAACAAACAAACTTGGAGCTGTACTTAGCGAAAGGTCGCTCAAAACAATCTAGAAGAGTATGACGTGAAAGAGCGAGCTAGTAAGTTAAAAATGAAGTTCATCTAGAATCAGCATGTAATGGCCGGTAACCCTCATCTTGAACATCTTTGCGTGGGATCAAACAGACTACGTCAAGAATGTTGGGCAACTGCGTGCAGTGGCAATGAACGTTTAAGGGTTCAATGATGCAGCTGTCACCACTTCCACGCGCGGGGAGAGGGAGCAGAACCAAAGCCAGCGTTCACGACCGACATGTAGTAGCAGTGACAATACGGGTCACTAGCAGCCGCGTCGGGATGGGATTCCACGCAACAGTTGTAGCAGCCTGTTGAGTCGGAGATAGCGGCGTCGTCGTCATGTCTCCCAGTTTGCTGTCGATCACCAAGCTGTCGATAGCCTCGTCGTCTCCGGGCTCTTTGATAGCAAGCACCTCGTTGCTGTGGTCTTCCTCCGATATCGTCGGCCACACTCATTTTCATCGCACTGCTAGTAGTACTCGGCTTCGTCGGCAGATGCACCGCACCAACACGTACGTGATCGGTTAACCAAGTAAACTA